TTAGAATCTCGTCAGGATTATGTCTTTTCAAGGACCCAGGATTGTTTCCTATCACCCTGTATACATACGTGCAACGTTGTATTGCATTTTATTGCATTGTGGCTACATTATTACATTGCAATATTGCTGCAGTCTTGGCTTTTCATATTGCTGCGTAGTTGCATTGCAATATTGCTGCATTGTTGCATTGAAATATTGCTGAAGGCGGACATTCTAATGTTGCTGCAATGTTGTTACAATATTGCAGCAACAGTTCGCAATTTTGCTGCAATAATGCAATCTTTCAAAACAATATCTCTGCAATGTTGCTGCAATATTTTCGTGCTGTATGGGCAATCTTTCTGAGAGCGGACATTTCAACGTTACTGCAATCCTCTAGAAACGTTGTAGCAATGTTGCACAACGTTGCTGCAATATTGCAATCTTGCAATGTAACATTTCTGCAATCTTCCTGCAATCTTTCTGTGCTGTGTGGGACAGTTTAAGCTTGTTTGCTTTTGCGCAACTTAAATACAATATATGTATAATTATAGCAAAAATTAATTAATTTTCTTGTTAAAAAGTATACACTCAACAATATTATGAAGAAAATAAGGAACAAAACTGCGTAGACATCGATTTGATTTTGTACCATCCAGCTCTGAGATCTAAGTAGCGTTGCTAAACTTCCATTTGGATGACGAGCGGTGTATTCAATACTCCAAACAGCTAAATCTAATGGTGGTATTGGCCGGTCCCGGAATTCACTGGATAATCGTTTCATATTTCTTGTATAGCTGTACGAAAAATGTTATTAATATAATACAAACTTACAGCATGACTTGACTAAAAATAAAGATGGAAAGACAAAAAATAAAATTCTATAATACATATTTTCATATTATTTTCATAAAAATTTTTTGTATGAAATTATCCAAATAACATTGAGAATCCAAAAAAAATTTCTTTTAAATTCCGGAATTATGAAATGAATTTTTTTCCATACCATTTTTGTTGTAAAAACTTCTTAAATGATCAAAACTAAGTCGTTTCTATGTTCCCAATTCTAAGCCTTTTTTCAACGACAAATAAAAATTTTTTCAAACCAAAAATAAATTCTCTTGAGTTCAAAATAAATTACGCTAACAAAAGTTTTTTTTTAATTCTGAATTGATTTTTAGTTTCTAACAATCGATTTCGAGACGAGATCGAGACGAGAACGAGACTTTTCTCGTCTCGTGCGCATCTCTACATAATGCAGATATTATTTAAAGTAATTGTACTTATTGTGCATTAATTTTTTTCAATAATAATTGTTACACTCAAATAGAATACCTTTTATTGTAAAGTATTTTTTCAATTGCATGTAGTACGGACTGTGTAGATAAAATTTTAAAGTCTAAGCGTATACCAACGCCTTTAGCCACTAATACTTCAGCATTAGACTTTTGATCCATAAAGAAAGGCGTTACAATCATTGGTATACCTTCCCAAATGGCTTCTTGGGTGCTAAGAAGACCAGCATGCATCCAGACTGCTTTCACATTTTTATGAGCTTAAAATAACAAAATTTGTTATAATAAATTTTAATTATCAACTGGTATCGTCAAAATTTGACACTGAAGCAAGCATTTAATTAGCTACAAAAATTTAATAAAATAACTACAATGTACTCTTCAAATAAGTTTCATTACATTACATGTAAGTTACTTGTAAACAAAAAGGTTAGTTTTTATTAAGCAAACTGATTTCTTTATAAAAAGATTATAAAATATTTGCAATTATTGGAAATTAAAATAATTTTGGAAAGAAGCTTATGAAAAAAAATTTTCATTATCAGTTATTAGAGATAATTAAATAAATGTAATAAAACAAACTAATTTTTTAAACTGTGTTGTATTTATCTTTAAGAAGCTGAACATTGAAAAAGTTATAAATTTCCTCTTGAATATATCAAAAAGTATTAGGCAAATCAACAAATGTTTCAGACAAAAGTTGTTTGCATTAATTAGTAGAATAAGATAGTATAATAAACAATAGAGGGTTCCATTTAAAAAATTCAAGGTTACCGTCATGTGACCTTCAAGTAACTATTTAAGGTCAAACCAATGGCATCATTTTATGTCCCCCTTTGAACCAAACAACTTTTGTTTGAAACGTTTCTCCCTACGTATCTTTCATATATTTGGAGATATTTGCGTGGTTCATTTAAAATGAATCACCCTGTATATGTATATGTGTTTGTGTAAGTTTAGTGTATTGTATTTTGCATATTATGAAACACTAAAATGGTGACTTCAATAATAATTTAAATTGGGATATAAATTAACTAATTTATCAATTATAAATCTCTTACTTTATCTTAATTTCAAATTTAAGAGAGTACCTTGCAGTAATGTTAAAAAATTGCATATTATAGACTAGTATTTTAATTATTAACAAAAAGTCTCAAGTCACAACTTAAACAACAAATTAAAAAAATTTTTTTTGGCTAAAATAAAATAAATGTGTATCGAGTTTCACGTTTTTTATATTTTTTTAAGTATCAGAAAACGTACGTACACAAAACTTCTTTTTGTGGTATCCACTTCAGTGCCATTACGTTGTCCGGCATTTGAAATGACGCTCCAATATCTCCTTCAATATCTAACTTCCAAAGCACTCGTTGTTTCAATTTCGACAGAGCCAATATAACGGCCTTAATCTTGTCTAGCCCGACAGATTTCCATCTCACATTTGTTCCAAACGATATTACAATGGCTCCGCTCTTTGCTTCATCAAGAAATACATGCACGTTCTGCGATATAATAAAAATAAAAATATATATTTTAATAATTTTAATATATATTTAAAAATATATATTTTAATTCTAAAACAAGTAATCAAAAGTAAATGATATACATTTACAAAGCGAATTATTCTAAACGTAAAGCATATTTCTAATTCTTTCAAATAAAATTCGTACGGTACTCTTCTTATAAACTTTTTTTAGATAAATATTGTAACTATTGTAAGAATTGGAATATAAAAAGAATTACTCGTACCTTGGGATACGTTACGACTTCATCTCCAGCAATCGGCTGTACGTGCAATCCCCCAATTTCCAAACTGTTCGGCGGTAATGGAATTGCAAGCTCAAATGCACAATAACTATTAATTAAAAGTATATTAATACTGTCTTTTTCTATTTCATGTAATGGCCTGATTGCGTGGCCTACATATTTCTCAGCAATCCGTTGAATGTTAGGCAAGAAATAATAGTGTCGCAGAAGATCGTCCAGTATGAAATATAAAGTATTCCACGTAGTCTGCCACAAACCTACAGGTTTCGCAATATCTGAATTGGTATAAGGTCGAACAGTTGGATAACTTGGACCACCGGTCAAATCCTTGAGCCAAGGTGCACTGGCATACGGAAGATAGCCTACTATCGGTGGCTTACCCTTAGCATCCTGTATAGAATATGCAGGAAGCAATGAATAACATTAACAAAGTTGCTAAAATAAATAACTATATTATTTTGTAATACAAGTAGTTACAATTAAATTACTTAAATATTATTCTACAGGAGAAACCCGTCATTTTTACTAATTTATTGTACAAAATACAATAAATACAACAAATATTAAATACATGATACCGAAACGTAAAGAAAGTATAATCAATATTTTGCGACTTAATTCTCTGCAAAAACCCAATAAGGTAGAGCGGCGCTATTTCGCTCAATTAAAGAAAAATTCGCTTATGTTTGTTTCTAATGTGGTCAGCATAAAATGAGGTGTGTTTCAGTTTTCGTTGAAACTAACGCTATGTACAAGGTGCGTATAAAAAGTATCGGGAACATTTTTTTCCTAACGCGACTGTAACTCGCAGCGTGTTCGCACCAGGCGGGCTCAATGGTGGGAATTCTCAGCTTCAACACGCACTAAGCGTCAGTCGCCTGCGACTGCGAGCTTCCGTGCGAGGTTCATCGTTGATTTAGTGAACCTTTGTCGAGGGACTCGGTGCAAGCTTCAAAATGCAGCGAACACTTGAACAGCGCTATTTTTAGAAAGTGACTAATGAAATGACTGGTTTCTTCTACACTAGTGTTTAATTCGTTTTATTCTGTCTATTCGTGCTACAAAATGTTGTTTGAATTGGTAAGTTTGATAGGTATTCCTTTACGTATATGTAGAGAGAACACAAGATTATTTTACATTCTAATACTTTTTCACATTTTGTATATAAAAAAAATTTTTTAAGGCATTTTTTTAAATACTCTTTCTCACGTAATAAAAATTGTACTTACAGAGTAGCTTCAGTTGCTTGCGACGTAGAAGTGTACTGTGTAAGTAGTGTAAGTGTGTCTTTATTTTTAGCTTATAGCCAAGAAAAGGGCTTGGTTTACAAACAAAATTTATACATCCATTCTTCCACATCTTGTTCACTCCAATCGCACTTAAAGCTAAATACCCATTTATTTACAGTGTTTTCACCTAGTTTATTCAGCTCCGGCCTTCTTTCCTTCCCTACAATATCTCTCCTTCTTCTTCCATAGCCTTTTCAATACCCTTCCTTTTTCTATCCCTAATTCGTCCTTACATAAGTTATTCAGCCTTTCACTATTATTCTTACCTACTTTGACAAACCAGTCCCTCACCACCCTGCATTCTCCTATACATATAATGTTTTAAATTACCTCTGCCTTCTTTGCAAAATTTGCATCTCCAATCCTCCTCCTCTAACCAATATTTGTTCGCTCCCTCCAAATGACTTTTAATAAATACTTAGGTTTTTCCCCTCCTAAACCTATCTCTTTATATCTTTTGTTGTATCTCGTAAAAATGTACTGAATAATTATCCTTACCTCCCACAATCCATAGAAACATTCCTGTACAGTCATGTCTTGTACTATAACATCAAACTCGACAGCCTTGATCCTTTCCAACAGTTCTTTTGCTGCTTTAGTTTTTATCACTGTATCGCATTTTGTGATACCCCAATAATATCCAACATAAGCCATATAGAATTCGTTGAACTGCTCCCATTGGTCAAGGCAGTAATCTTGAAATTTGTCGTGAGACGTAAACACATCTTCGAAGATCTAAAAAGGCCATATAAATTTGAAACCCTGAAGTACTCTTCATTATGTGAAACGAGATCAAACGGTTAAATTTTACAAAAAAAATATATAAAATAGTATTTTAAAACAAAAAAGTTGTGTGTATGTTCAAGTTCATACTAATAATATCTACTTACGTCGTACGTTAGGTTTTCTGCGAGTTTCCCCTCAACCTTAGTCTCCAGTACGCTCACTGTGTGCACATGATGGCCTTTGCGAAGCAGTCCTTTAACTAAATGCTCCGTCCACATGTGATGACTTGCCGCTGGAACACTCTGTATCAATAAAACCGACAGTGGTTTCGATGCTGTCGCGAGGCCAATTGAAATACAACAAATAAAGTAAAGCAATAAAATAAAACAACTTGACATTGTTGAAAGAAACGCCCTCTTGCTGGGCTTTCGATCGTACTGCAAGACTAAAAGCAAAAGCATGTATTTCTAGTATACATTCTAGTTTTGTGCTTCTCTTCTCCTTATTTCAAGCTAATAGCCTACAAGTTAATAGTAAACACGATAATCTCAACGATATACTGATAATATTAATATACTAATAATATTGTCATGTCAACATTTTCCTACAGGAAAATAGTGAATACAAAAGTGTTGTCCCTTCCCCGATTTTTATTAGCTTTACATATAATATAATACAAATAAATAGGAGGTTTACTTAGTAATTTAAGTACTTTTATTTGCATTATTACATTGACCCTCTCGCCGGTCTGGCCGGTCTTGCGTTGTTTCGCACAGAAATTAAGTTCTATGAAAATTGATTACACATTTACATACCTATGTGACTTATCTGATATTGAAATGTTATAAGTGGTAGTCTAGTGCGAAATAAAATTTTCCATTATGATTATATATAATTAAAATATTCCCCAAGTGTATTTGTTATCTCTTATTACAGGAAAACCGTATTGCGTGAAGTCTCGGTTGCATGGACAGCCAAATAGCGCATATATCGAAGTTTTAATTATTTCTCGAAAATGGTTTTACGAAGCGCAACTTCATCGTATGTTTGAATTCGTAAAAAAAAACCTTTTGTTCGTTGACAACAAAGTTTTAAAAGTTTTTTTAATTTCTGTGGGTGAGGGGATATTTTGCAAAAATTTAAAAATTAAAAACTCTTTCTTTCGCCGTTTTATAGTACTATTAAAGCCGTTTAATTAAAAAAAGAGAACTTGCTATCTTTTATACTTTTGGAGATATTTGCAACGAAAGAGAAAAATCGTTGTCACATATACATTTCAAAAACGTTTTAGAAGCGTTTATCCTAAACGTTTTATAACCGATTTTTAGAAACGTTTCTTATGAGTTAAATGTCTTAAAAATCTGAACCACTTTTTCACCACCCTGTATACTTCGTTTCGCAATAAACCGCTAGATCTAATAACTTTATCAGTTGTTGTTACGCTTTATATTTATTATGGTAACAACACATGTCCAGTTTCAGTTCTCGATGATTTCTCGAGGTGAAAAAGAGTGCGATTCAATAGTATATCCCTAGTATTAAGAATATATTGTGAAAACATACCGTAATTAATTGCAACGAAGAATCGTGTCTAATTCCAGCATAAATGTAATATAATGTAGGTCAGTACAAATAGAATACACCTACAATGTGTCTCGTTTTAAAACATTTACCAAAATTGCGTATAAAACATGATGTCAAAGAACGAGGTTACGAACATTCTTGAGTTTCGTCAAAGTTACTTTTCGAGGTCGACAATAATTTAGCTTAAAATTGAAATATATACTAGCACAGATATTTCAACGTTTGTTATAAATTGTTTATATTGTATCACTAATCTTATTATGTAATTTACGAGTCAAATATTTTAAATCAAGCAAGAAGCAGATACTTGTGAAATAGAACACATTTCGTAATGATTAAAAAGCTATAGAAATGAATACGATATGGAAAAACACTTAAAAAACATAATACGTACAATGCAGGACAAGGAAAAATATTTGTATAAAGTATTTATCTAATAAAACAAGCAATACTAAACTTACGTAATAAAACTCACATTTTGTATAGATATTTATTAAGAATATTAAATCAATAAACGTTTCATAATAAATCGAAAATTGTTATACCTACATAAAGGAAAAAATTAAAGACAGTGGTTCATGATAGTCGATGTATGTCTTTCATGTTTTCCTATTTTTATATGTATAGTAATCAAGTCGGCCTCTGAGAGAATCACATATCTTAACTATCCGTATCTCTAATTATCCTAACGCTAGCGAAAATGAAGTGTCGATATAAAAATTTGATTGAGAATTACATTTGCTGACTACAACAATGATAGAGAACCTTTAAACTATAACATAATTCGTAGAAATATATGTCTTTCAGAAGAAAATAAAATTTTTATAGGTATCTAAACAGAAGAAATCGTTATAAATGGCATTAAGTACGAGGATATTAATACTTTGCATGTCATACCTTTGTTTAAGTATTGATATTGGAACTAAATTAGATATATTACCGAAACATGTAGTACCAACATACTATAAAGTCCAATTAAATCTTTACACAATTGAGAAAGGTTTCGTTCATGGCTTATGCCTTGTTGACATCAGTATCAATAAACCAACCTACAGCATAAGTTTCCATGCACCACAACCTCAAATAAAACCACATTACTTTGATCTGTATAAAGTAGAAGCATCATCGCCTGAGAAATTCATAAGTCATGAATTTAAACATATAGTCTATTTCGATAAGGAGTTGTCACCTGGAGAGTACGTCTGGAACATAACGTTTACTACCAGTTTATTCAGTGACGACAAAGATCTGTTTAAAACTTCTATCACAAATGGAAAAGAAAGTGGACTGTGAGTAAATGTTAATATTCTAATGGAGAAGTTTATACAGAACATACCAATTGACAAAATATTGGAGTTATTATAATTCTACATAAGTATAAAGAGGACCCCGCATATTTTTTATGGAAAATCGATTTAGGCTTAACTTTTGCCATTTTGTACCGTCTAGTGATGCTGATCAAAAGTCACCATTCCCACAAATCAAATTTGTGAGCCGTTTTTGTTCTAAAAGGACTCTGCCTCACATGTAGCACAAAATGATTAAATTTTATCCAATTTCACTTAAACCGATTTTTCATAAGAAAAGTGCTAGGTTCTTTATGTAAATTATTATTCTTTTATATTTGACGCCTGATATTTCATACCTTGAATTCGATGTCCACGTGTCCCAGGTCGCCGATTACGACGTCCACATAGTGTGCTCCATAGTTTTCGGTGTCTAGATGTATCAATACCTTGAATTCGATGTCCACGTGTCCCAGGTCGCCGATGACGACGTCCACATAGTGCGCTCCGTAGTTTTCGGTGTCTAGGTGTATTAATACCTTGAACTCGATGTTCACGTATCCCAGGTCGCCGATGACTGAATTTTGCTTCCGAGTTTTTGGCCGCCACCATGCGCGGCCTAGCGGGGGTCGGTGAACTACTCAGAA